TTTTTTCGACCTAGTATAACAAAAAAATTTAATTCAAATCTGTGGTTCCACGTCCTTGTTAGTAGTTAATGGTAACGTTTGTACCTGTAGTAGTAGTATTCCAATAATTGTGTAAGTATTAGTCGACAATAGTCGACAGGTCCATCACCCTGCAGAGAAAGAGAGTTCTCAGTTATTTTACGGACACCCTGAAGATGGCGAAATGCCGAAACGCACCCGACAGACCAACCCAGTGAAGATGGCCATACCAAAAGACCGGTAACGACCAAATTTCAGCTATATTATTGTAAGATGTGAGTTGGGTTGTATTATTATTATTATTTATGCTAATAGTTTTAGGTTTATATTACAAATAACAGCTAGTGGTCATTAATAATTTCGCTTCGATAGTTATGATCTACCAGTGTAATTATTCCACAATTTGTATAACAGCATGTAGTCATTGTTAATTGAAAATGTGTAAGGTGCCCGGTAGGAACATTAGTCAGCAACAGGATGAAGTTAATCTTATCAAGAATTATTCAGTCTGTCGTTTTAACACATAAGAAGTGATTAATAGACTAAAATTATCTGAAACATGAAGGCTTATCAACAAAATACTCGAAAAATATTGTTTTTTTTTTTTTTTTTTTTTTGTAAGAAGCGCGTCCCATTTCAGAGAATGTACCATTAAAACAAACTGGCGGTGTTGAAAGTAATAGAAAAGTTGTACTTTTACTTTATGAAAGTATAATTTGAGAACTGACATAATTCATTCTCACCTAACAATATAAACATACTGGACGATCTCTTCTGATATAAAAAGTTCTTGGGTTGAAAAAGTTTTTGTTTTCTTGTAAAAATCAGCACAAGATGCTGACATACTACCGAGTGAGAATGCTTGCCGACAATACCAATTCCGATCATTCCTTGCAAAGAAACACGGGAAAACACTTCTGATAAACAGACTATTTCGGCCTCTCTGATCTCTTGCACTTGGGCGAAAGTGGATCTGCATCGGAACGGGCTTGAGAAAAATTGATCAATCATTCAAATCGTTCCTGCCGGTCCGATGCACCTCCGTCCTATTTCCATGCTACAGCTACCTTTCCGGAAACTTCTTCAGCTTTGAACCGTCCTTGGTCACGGAAATAGTTAACTTTACTCCAGCCGAGTATTAAAACCGGCACGTAAAAGTTTCTCGAGTTGCATGTGATTAAGGTGCAGTAAGAACATCTTAGAAACGTCTCTGAGAAAACTTTTGTATGTAAAAGCACTTTCTAAACAACAAAATGATAATTAACACAAAACAACTGCCCAATTCACACCGTTAAAGTCTTTTCACTTTTTGTACTCCATCTTGAAGTTTTTTAACAAAAAGACTGCAACATTTATCGAACTGCAATGCTTCTCTTTCTACTAGGTCAGATTTCTTGGATGGCTGTTCGTCCATTCGTCAATCCAGGTGTATGGAAGCGGAAAATTACTAATTACGCAACGAAAGTGCACCTTGCTCATGACTTTTCATCTCAGGTCCATCCGTTCTCGCTGTTTTCTCAAAAATGAACTCTTATTACATAGACTAAAATTTTAAACGATTTATTTTTCTAAAAAGACAATTGAGGAGGTGATTTAGCAGTAAGGCTGCATCAGAGTTTTCTTTTTATGATTTTTAATTATTTTAGAAAATTACAGTTGGTTCAAAAATTCTATCTTTCTGTGTGTGTAATATTCATGAATGAGACAAAGAACAGTTATCTTCTTATAGCTGGATCGTTTGTCATTGGGTCTGCCTATTGATGATGTTTTGGTCTGTCAGACACGTTTCAATGTTTCGACATTTTGATTGCTGTGTCTCATTTAAATAGATTGAAATGTACTGTTAAAAAAATGAATTATAAAAAATTATTAAAAAATAATAAAAAATAGGAACCAAAAAAGAGATTTTGGAGTATCAAACCTTGGATTCTAATTCAATTATACTATAGAAGGATATAAATACAATACAAAGAATTGTATGCAATAATCCTCAGATGATGATTTTAAGAAATTTGGCAAGAATAGGTAAAAAGCAGGGTGATAAATAAAACTGTTAGTTTGATTTATGCATTAATTAAATTATTGAGTAGATCAATTTGAATTCCTTTTAATAGAAAAAAAATGTGTGGTCCCTATTTCAATATTAAAAATACAAGCTAAAAGTTAAATAAAGTAATTGCTATCATACAGGAAGGCTAAACTGCCCCTGTGGTGTTGTTGACGAGGGGTCAAACCATTTTACACTACTTTTTTATACTATCCTCGACTGAAAAGTCATGAGCTGTGCCAGGATTCAAACTCAGAACTGCCAGCAGGCAAAAAAGGAATCAGATGCCCTAAAAACTTGGCTACAGTAGTCTCCTGTTCATGCAAGTTACGAATAGCACATGTTTCTTGCATATTACATAATAATTCAGTGAACTATGAATTTTATTTGTAAAAAATGAGTTTTAGAAAAAAAAAATTGAATGAAAACATGTTAGATCATTTTAAGTTTTTATTTTACATACAGGATGGTATGATTTTTGACTCAACATGGAAAAAACAATGTGACAATGCACCACCTCCTTAAATGAACCACCAAGCGACGTTTTTTTTAATTTAAATTTTTATTATTATTTTGTTGTGTGGTGTTTAGAGACCATTAACCAATGATTATTTGGAGATTGTGAGGTGCAGTCTGGTGTGATGTAGGTTTTAGAAAAACATTTTCTTTACCATGCCAACGTTTCAATCTTTATTGAGATCATCTTCAGGGCCTGGGATTTATAAACATTGTTTAAATTTTACAAATACATGTAAGATGTGAAAAAAATGAATTTATACAATGCTACAAAATTTTAGATTAAAAAAAAGAATTTATAAAACGCTAGAAAATTTTAGATTAAAAAAAGAAAGAAAAAGAATTTATACGATGCTAGAAAATTTCAGATTAAAAAAAATGAATTTATACAATGCTAGAAAATTTTAGATAAAAAATCAATTTATACAATGCTAGAAAATTTTAGATAAAAAATCAATTTATACAATGCTAGAAAATTTTAGATAAAAAAAATGAATTTATACAATGCTAGAAAATTTTATATTAAAAAAAAGAAAGAAAAAGAATTTATACAATGCTAGAAAATTTTAGATAAAAAAATGAATTTATACAATGCTAGAAAATTTTATATTAAAAAAAGAAAGAAAAAGAATTTATACAATGCTAGAAAATTTTAGATTAAAAAAAAGAAAGAAAAAGAATTTATACAATGCTAGAAAATTTTAGATTAAAAAAAATGAATTTATACAATGCTAGAAAATTTTAGATAAAAAAATGAATTTATACAATGCTAGAAAATTTTATATTAAAAAAAAAGAAAGAAAGAGAATTTATACAATGCTAGAAAATTTTAGATTAAAGAAAATGAATTTATACAATGCTAGAATTTTTTTTCAATCTAAAATTTTCTAGCATTGTATAAATTCATTCTTTTTTATTCTAAAATTTTCTAGCATTGTATAAATTCATTTTTTTCACATCCTACATGTATTTGTAAAATTGAAACAATGTTTATAAATCCCAGGCCCTGAAGATGATCTCAAAACAATCGAAACGTTGGCCTGATAAAGAAAATGTTTTTCTAAAACCTATGTCAGACCAGACCGCACCTCACGATCTCCAAATAAGCATTATTTTTTTGCTTTGCTTTGCCAGCCAGATTTCTATCTAGCCATATTCAGAGTTCAAACTGTCTGCTGGAGACCTATTGGGGCTGCCAAAATAGGCACATCCATAACATCCAAACCTTCTACCTTAGGTTAGCTATATCCCTTCTGAGTGCTATAAAGCTCTGACTCCAAACATTCACTCGTAAACTAATTTGTCCTATTGCCATCCAAGCTTTAATTTTTCTTTTTAAAATTCTTAATTTGGAAGGCCAAATGTATGCAAAAATCCCATTTTAAATTACATATAAAATTTATTTCTGTTTCTTTTTTAATTAGAATTGTGAATTTTTGTTCCACAATTTAAACATTTCCTATAGGCTTGTATGGCTAATAATAATAATAATAATAATAATAATAATAATAATAACAATGGAGTCAGACTAGCAACAGTCTCAGCATGAGTATAGGCTCATCCTTATCCTTTTATTCTTCCATTCAAATATGATACATAAACTAATTCTACACAACAATAATAAGAAACAAAACACAATAACACTTTTTTTTTGGGCATTACAGTTTATTACCCCGCAATTTGTATTTTCTTCCATTTCATTTTTCCGCTCCGGCAGCCTCAAAAACTTCTGAAAAAAAGAAATCTTGCACGCACAACTCTCATTCAAATATTAGCAGGCATTCAATGGTATAACAATTTGGGAAAAGGCCTAAATCTCATTATAAATTCCAATAAATTTGAGAAAGCGGAAAAGTGCTCTTCGAAAGAAACACTGGGGACCCAGTAACTCCTGTAAATCACTCGAATATTAATATTATATTAGATATATTATACAAAAATAATATGATTATAATATGATAATATAACATATATTTTAAGTTTTGTTTTTGTTGTCAACATTCCTTTCTTTAGTGTTTAGTAAGAAATAGTTTTAATTAGAAAATTAGGAAAATTTCATCAGAGTCCATTTAAGCAAGTGGTGCCTTGTATTTCTAGTGCATCAAAAAATCACCACCCAGTACCAGCCTATTTATATCTTATTTTTTATTTTACATATAATATGTACATATAATATTATTATAATATGATAATACAACTTATATTTTAAATTTTGTTTTTCCTACATAATTGAGTCAACATTCATATGGATGGACATAAGTCCATGTAGTTCGTATTTGTAATACTTTGTACCAAAAAAAGATGTTTTGTATTATGAATATTAATAAAATGCATTTATTGTAATTATTATTATTATTATAATGTTTCTGTTAATCATGTGGAAAAGCTATTGGATCAAATAGTTGGCTATCATTCTCAACAGGTAGCTCTGAAAATGGTTCCAGCTGATGCTGCTATCTTACAGTGATAAGGACATGACAACAGAAACAGAAACCATTTCTATGTGACAGCTCTAAGAAACTGAGCCACATTTTTGAAGAACCTGACACAATCAACAAGAACACAATGCCAATCAACAAGCTGAAGCTGCAGAACTTCACCATCAAATTGTTCAGCGTTTTGGGCTTCCTGGTCTCACTCTATTCGTACTATGTTGAAATGAAAGTGGAACACGACAAGAACTACATCGCTTTGTGCGACATCAGTGAACATATTAGCTGTTCCAAGGCATTCAATTCCCAGTATGTATTTGCCTGAATCTATGAGATTAAAAAGTGGAAAAGATATAAAAAATGTTTTTATTTACAGTTACGGTCGTGGTTTCGGCATCCTGAACGATATTTTTGGAGAGGGTTCGATTTTAGACCAGCCGAACAGCTTGTACGGGATGTTCGCTTATTTTGGAATGTTCCTCCTTGGTATGATTTTTGATTTAACATTACAACTTGAAAGCTGGATTGTTCAAGCTGCCCTCAAAAATAATAATATTTTTACACTGATTCAGATTAGTTAAGGCACTTTTATTGAAAGTTTTGACAGCGGGAAGATCTTCATTGAGATATGTACTGTGAAAATATGTTTAAAATTGTAAATTGTATGCACTTAGACATATTGCACATGACACATCAATATTGCTAAATCACTCTACTATTATTTATTTTCCATTTTTAGGTGTTGAGACTTGCTTAAAAGTGGTTTTATGTCCTATATTAGTAGATGTGCAGGTATACTTTGTGTAATTTGACTAGAATAAAATTATATTTTACTAGGTACACTGTGGCACAACAGATTCACCTGGGTTTAATTGGTTTCTCCATTATTCTTTCTTAATCGTTAAGCCTCTAAAATATTTGTAATATGAAATTTTTGTTTATCTAGTTTGAAATCATCAGGAGCATTAGCAATTTGGAAAACAATTGGAAATTCTCCTTGTATTATTTTACTGGAAAAAGGATTTTGCAATAAATATATAGTTGCCAAATTGTAAATGTACAATGTGTTGATTTTTGTCTCTCTGCACATTGTATTGTTGCATTTGTCATTAATAATTCATGAACGATTATCATCGAGGACAGCCCGTCTTGATTTGTAAGCTTGAATGTTGACACAGAGACAATTTTACAAGAAGTACAAGTCTCAGTTGGATATGGAACAGTCTACATTTTTCTTGTTCAGCTTATTACAGCAACTGTCCATGTTTAATGTTATTTGGCCCCTTAACAAACTGATTTTTTAATTTTTTAACCCTTCCATATGTGATTAAATTGTCCCAAGTCAATTCAAATACACATTTATTCTATTTAAATTATTATCTAACCTAAGTTTGATGGGTCTCTTCTTCTTGATATAGAGCTGAGACCCCACCCCTACAACTATGCTAAAATTATGAACCTAAACCTATGGTTGGAGCCTGGCAAAATGATTTTCATCTTGACGATCTCCCTTCATTAACCTAATTGGTTCAACAGGTCTGTGGGTACTTGATATTCCACAAAGTGTCCATACACACTTAACCACTTACACAAATAAATTCATTCACACAATTGGGTTATGCTATGGTTAACCCCCTCCCCCAAATCACACTGTAATTGTATATAAATCTTAATAATCTAGACTACTTTGGTGTGTTTATGGGTACTTGATATTCCAAAACAAACACACCATAATGTTCATGGTAATAAACATATTCTCTCAAATTTCATTTTTTATTTACATATTTATTACTCTGTTCTAGACAATTAAGACAGTTGGTTTAATACAACGTAATATGTAAATAAAACATACATAAAATAAGACATACAAATAGGGTAACATTACATTGAAATTATATTGTCTATAAAGTATTTAATGAAATTTTAAGAGAGTGAAATTATTTAAATAACAATTATTTTTCTAGCAGTTTAATTTCCTTATTTTTTATATGTTTAATTATAAGATTTGTCCTTTTCCATTTAGCCTTCATTGAATATGTGCTTGTTTTGTTTTTTCTTTGGCAGCTCTTACTGACAGAATCAAGATGAGCAGGGTCTTTCTCAATGTAACAGTCATGTGCAACGTGATGTCAGTCTACCTTGGATACATACTCATATTTATTTTAAAGGATTTCTGCGTAATATGCGTTTCAACGTATGTTATCAACTTTGTCCTTGTAGTCGCAGCATACAAAAAGTATCATCACCTTATATCCCTGTCACATGAGCACGATAGAAAAAATCAATAAAATATAGGAGACTGTTCTGTTGCTTAATTGAAAGTCGTTGAAAAGTATACTTCAGGCGATTAATATGTATTTTGAATATAGACTGTACTTAAAGTATAATTTTGACAATGTAGTATAAAGCAATGTGTGTAATGGTTGTGATGACTTGGATTATAAAAAAATTCAAATTTTTGAAATGACATGCTATTTTTGGCATGGTTATTTAGTTGCATTCCATCTATTGTCTGACAGTGATATTAACTAGTCAAATCTTATACTCATAAATAGCATAATTTTATAAAACTTGAAAACTATTTTTCACAAAAGGCAAATGTAGTCATATAATATATAATATATTAAAAAAAAAATTATATAAGATATTTATTTGTCAAGTTCCAAGGGTATATGTTCTAACAAATTAATTATATTTTCTACACATTGTACTTTTTATTACATTGTATTATTTATTTACACAACTGGATCCATTGAATAAAAATTTTGTTTTAATTTTAAATTTATTTATTTCCTACGTGCAATTTTTTTATGACTATGGATAAATAAAACATTAATGTAAACAAATGTATGGGTGTTATTGAATGTGATGTCAGTAAGAATTTTCCACCTGTTTTCATCCAAACCAGTTTACCAATTAGGAACAGTGATCGATTCAATATCCAATTAGATAGAATTTCATTATCGTCTGTTGATGAGTTACTCTTCACCGACAGCAACACATAATTAATGATAATAAGACTAGATTGGAATGAGTTGGAGTGTAGAAGTTTCAAAGGCTGTTATCATAGTAAACAACCTTGGTGTTATTGCAACATAAAAAAAAAGAGAGTTAATAATTTAATAAACCATATTTCTCTCAGCTCCTTTCCCACAAGCTTTAAATGTTTATTAAATTGTTTTAACAATTGATATCATCTTGAATCACAGGATTAAAATGAGAATTGGATTGATTTTTCAGGCATCATGCCAATCAAAGCTGGTGTTCTGCAAGGAGGTATCCTAGGACCAATCCTTTATAAAATAAAAGTATTGTACACAACCTATGCCCCCACCCACATATTATACTAAAAAGACAAGAACTTAACCAAAGATAAGGACAATTTAGACATACCAAACTAACTGCTTACCAAACACTTACAATTAAGACTGATTTGGAGGCGAGTCGGGCTGGCCAAATCCTCCGACATCCAACAAATCCAAACCTTTTAATACAAAGCAACTTGCTGAATGCTCCTTCTACATCACAAATCTAAGGATTCACAAAGTCCTAGACATCTCTTTCATGGAGGATCTGATCAGAATGTTACCACATTTTCCACTCCAAGCTATACTTCCTCCTTAATAATCCTTTAGCTAAGTGCCTAAAACGACGATGGGCTTGCGACCTCCTATCCTGACCCTATCATAGTTCCAACACTAAATAACAGCACTAGCTGGCTACTCTCTCACCTCATGGTCTGAAAGATCTGTGAAATTTGTATTTAATTACGTAACCTACTAATGACTGATGGGAAGTCAGGGTTGAAAGCAGGGAAACAATTTGATGAGTATGGCTTGGTATCACGATGAAGGAGTCTCACAAGGAACACTTTTTGGATTGTTTCTTTTTCATGTTTACTAAACTTTATAGTGGACAAACCTAAAATGTCTAATTTTGATTTGGTTAAACTAGAAAATTATTTGTTTGATAAATTAGAATTGAACGATAGACGAATAGCACTCTTTGAACAATTAGTTATGTGCAGTGAGGGAAGTCCCCCTATATATAGAATTTGACACAAGTTGAAATTCCAGCAACGAAAAGAGTCTCGCCCTTTTTATATCCCTGATGTTGCATTACCTAGTTTCCAGTTGATGAAAGAGTTTGTCATGAAAATGTTGGCTGAGAGTCCAATATTTTGTGGGTTACAAGAATTGCAAATGTTAATGGTGGGTATTGATTTAGTTACGATTTCTTCACTGAAGATGGCGCAAAGCCGAAACGAATTTGAGTTGAAGTGAACATCAAAATCGGTTCAAACACGCAGTGTAAATGTTCTGTAAGGATTATTAAAAATAAATAGAATTTGATATAAAGTAATTTAATTAAAGTCGCTAGAATACAAAACGCCGTTGTCCCAAACAACCACAACTGCGCAGTTCTCCGTGCGTACTACCGTTAGTCCCGTTTCTTTGTTCTTCCCTCTCGTCAACACCAACCCCTCAGCGTTGCCAACCGTCCCAGTGTTGCCGCCGGTTCTCTTCTAATGTTTCGGAGGGGCGCCTCTTTTCCCTCCTCTTGTCCTCTTCCATAACAGTTCTATATTTTATATTAATTTTTGGGTAAAAAAAAACTTTGTATGGCGCATCTTTTCTAAGACCTAAGCAATATTACAATCAAAGTTTGGCTTAAATAATTAAAATAAAGGAGATGAGAGGAAATCACGTAATTGTGCATTAATGACCAAACAGCTTAACATTAAAACGGTTTGTTGTAAATTGATCGACCACAAGGACTGCTTGAAGTTTTTCCTTTTACCACTTTGTAATTTGTCAGTCAGAACAAATCGACGAGAACAGGCGGACAAGGATGACCAGAGACGAACCAACTGGTAAGTAATAAATAATGGTCAAACAAGTTAAACTTAACTAAAATTAACACGGATAGTTAATAATAGCAAGCAGAATTGTACGTAATACTGGAGGATACTCTTATGTCATCAACTGGATGATCTTTCTGAAAGCCGTGCCATCAATTTGAAATCGTCACTCGTCAGTCTGGAGCATTTATCGACCAGAAGAGGACCTGGTTGGCCCGATTTGAAATTAAATAATAATCGTCCTTAGGTGGAAAATGTTCCTTAATTTATTTCTAAGAAAATAGAGGATCACTGCATAATTGTTGTCTCTCTCCTTTTCTATTTTTATTTACGTAGCTACATATCTATCTGAACTGCTCAAAAATAAAAAGAGCTATTGGCATTTTTGTACTATTTACTTCCCCTAGCATTTTTATTTCATTTTATTATAAATTGGATTAAAAATTTTTTTAAATTATTTTTTTTGGTGTTTGTTGTCGATATTACCATAATACAGAATAGAAGGAAGAATTATGCCAAGTTTTATTAATAAATGTATGGAAAGCCCGTCCCCAAAATTCTATGCACTTGTATATAAATTTTACTTTATAACTTTAACGATTAATCACTTTAAATACACACACTCTCTCTCATTCTCTTTTATTATATTTCAACTACGAGGTCATATAAACCCTCGGGGTGCCGGTGTTTTTGAAAAAAATCCCAAGTATTTCGGGTTGAATGCAGGGCCACCTGGATTCGAACCCGGGACCTTTACCTTACAGTGATGAGCGCCTTGTCAACGCCTAAACCGTTGGGGCCACCGAGGCCCCTATTAAAATTTATTAGAAATTAATATGGTTTTATTGAAGGAAAATTTAATTAAGGGATTTCGAAAAATAACAAAATAAGAGGTTTTAATTCCATAATTTCGTTTATTGGGCACAATAATTTTTGAAAACAATACTGTAAATAATGTCTTCTTTTAGCTAAAACCTCTATGCACCTGTTGTCACTAATTTCATAAGGAATTTCACTCCATAGATCCTGCAGTTGTCAGTTGTTGCAGGTCAACTGGCCGCGGATGGTGATCGAAAAGCCTTCTCTGCAACGCATCCCGCATGTGCTCAATGGGATTGAGGTGTGGAGGCAATTGAGGAATGGGCAGATGGAAAATTCCCAGGTTTTGTAAACGTCGATGAACAACTCTGCCTCTATGAAGTCCGGCATTGTCAACCAGAAATCGAAAATCCCTGCTAAATAAGATCCCTGATGCATATAATTTCTTGGACATAACGGACCGCGGTAAGGTTGCCTTCAACAATATGGAGTCCATTTCGTCCTCCAGTGTAAATTCCAGCGGAGGCCATTTCACCGCCTTCTCCAAACTGCACTGAAGGGAGCACGAACTGGGGCATTGTACGCCCCTCTGTTCTCAGTAGACTCTTCGGCGCCTGCTATCACTATACAGAAACGCGAGTATTCCAACTGGTGAGGTGCTCGCTGCACCATATTCTCCTGAGTTGCTGGTGGTGGGCTGTTGCTGCAGGTCGTCTCAAGGGGCTACGATGTGAAGCCAACTTCTCACACAAATGTTCATAAAGGCCTTGCCAAACATCTTTTCCTTCGTTTAGGACTTGACGGGCACTATGAAAAAGGGTTCCGTCTTGCAGCAATAACAATATATCTGTCCTCCCTTAGCATCGTGTTCGCTGAGATCCACTACCGGGCCTCCTTTGACACTTCCAGTATCTTGGAATCGGGCTAAAGCCCGGAAGATCACTGAGAAACGCCAACTGCCTCTGTGATATCCACTTGCTCGATGACTCGATCTATCGATGAGTCATTCTCACAGTAATATTGCCAACTTCTGGTTCAAGATGATGTCTTAAATTAATAGAATAAGAATAAATGACAAATATCCCTTTTTATATTTGAGCAGTTTATTTTATATCTTCCTTCTTCACAGTCACTCTTATACTATCTTACTTGTAATCTTTCAGTTTTCTATTTTCAATGTACTAGCAACCTGTTTTACTTTCTCTCTCTCTCTCTCTCTCTCTCTCTCTCTCTCTCTCTCTCTCTCGTTTAAGTGAAAAGAGAGGTCGAAGAGAGCCCGTCCGCGACCTAATTCTACTGACTTCAAGTATTTCCTAGCAATCAATTTAACATCTTTTATGAAAAGGGAATCGACATACTCACCACCTCAATTTTTCTGTATTTCAGAGGTAGTTCTTTCGGGGGATTTCTAAATTCTTCTTGGATAGTGAGGAAATGACATGGTACGCGTTCAGGTTAAAACCATGTATATTCCGAGGTTTTAGGTTGTCCTTAGGTCTGATATGAGTAAAATTTTGGAAAAGAATTTATATTTAATATTATATATAAATTCACTATATTTTGTGGTCAGCTTGACCAATTAATAACATTCAATTAATTAAGGTTTTTAAGTTGAGATAAAAAAGTCAGTGTCAC